ATAAATAGTCTTAAGTAACCTTATTCTTTAACTTTTAAAAAATATATATTTAAATTTTTATATTATTTAGATAATTTCTTATTAAGTTATGAATAAATAAAGAATTCCAAAAAGTTTTGTTACACGCTGTATATATATATTTTTATGTCATTTAGTCCTTTAACTAAAACTATGTGAGTATTAGCATAATATTGTTTGCATATTTACTTTAATAAAGACTAGCCATAATGACATAAAAAAAAATGAATTTATTAATAACTTTTAAATAATACTTTTTTTTTTATTATCCAATAAGACAAACCGTGATAGCATGTTTGCGGGTTAGTAAAACATTTTTATTATATAACAATATAGAGACTTTGCAATGACTATGTACAGTCCTTTTTTTTTTTTTACATGAAAAAATTGATAACTTTTATGCCGGCGGCAAATACCATTCCCTTAAACATGCATGATGTAATATACAGTATTATTACTGTTATTACATTATGGGGCTCTAATTTATTAAATAAATGTAGTTTATATGATGGATAATGGGGATGCTTTAAAATAATAATAAAAAAACCTGTTGCAGTTGTGAAATTTTTACCCCATTTCACCAGTATCCTTATTTTTACCTTTACCATTTCCGCCTTTACTACCGCTTTCGTCTCCTTCATTTTCACCATTATCCGTTCTGTCATCTTTAATCACATCCTTTTCTTTATTTTCCTTATCTTCAGCATTTTCCTTATTTTCCTTATCTTCAGCATTTTCCTTATTTTCCTTATCTTCAGCATTTTCCTTATTTTCCTTATCTTCGGCCTTTGACTTCTTAAATGGCATCTTGAAGAAACGTAATTTATTCCAATTTCCCCATTTTCTTTCACCAACTCTACCGCCACTTTCTCCTTCACGATTACGGTGATGCGCATAGGGAGAGGGTATCACCCTAATATCTTCTCCCTCGTAATTTTCAATAATGTAATTATCTCCTTCGTCCCAGATAGCATACTTCGAACTTAGCGGTCCAAGTTGATCATGATCGAATCGTGACCTCTCATCGATTTTCTCCGCTTTCGATTGTCGTCGTTTAGAAATGTCATGGGGTATATTTATATTAATTTCATGTGGTTGCCGTGATGTATAACCGCGTATTTGATCTAAATTCAAATCATGAGATGATCTTGTAACTGCTGTGTCGAATGAGTTTCTTGAATCCCGTTTTGCAGTCGGCTCAACATCATGAACGTAAGAATCGTGTATTTCAGATGAATCATCTTTTTGATACTCGACATCCTCACGTGGTGATATGATCTCTATGGTGGTTGATTCTGATATATTACTACCATGATATTCTTCGAAACTCGTTTTAAAATGCGTTGACAGGATGTTCCTCGATGCAAAAAATACACCCTGACCGTCACGGATTACTGGTAATCGTGAGACTTGGTTGTTCACAGAACTTGCAGTGAATGTGCGGGTATTTATCCTTAAATTCAAAAGGAATTTCAATATTAGTCGAGCAAAAGGTTGGAATGAGATGTCATCATCAAAGTTTTACCTTCTTGAAATCATAACCAATGCTTTAAAGGATAAATTTAATTAATAAATGCACAGATAATGAGGAAACTTCCTTAAGAAAAAAAGAGAAAAACTTACGAACGGTGATTCCGTGAACCATAACAGAACTAAGCACCAAGAATAACACAACTTCAAAAAATTTTGTTAGCACGGATTTTTAAATCGTACAACAAAGGCTATTAAAAATGGTAATATTATTACCTGGTTGGATAATATCACCAATATTATCTGTAGGCGTAACGTAATTTGATTCCAATTCTTTTTTGATAACGGTGGAACAGTATATCGCGCCTTTTATTGTTCAGAAGTCAGGAAAGAAAAATGAAATTAAATAACTACGCGTATTTGGGAAAAATTAAAAGTCAATTACAAAACTTACCAACGCCAATGGGCCCTGAGAATTTCGCGTAATATAAAAGATAATGAAGTTGCGAATTTTGGAAAATGATCATAGAAATTTCTAGGATACTTGAACAAATATCTCTGATGCTTACCGAACCATCCAGTGAATAATACTATGCGCAAAAACAAAAGATAAAATATGCGAGAAATAAATAAAGGAGTTCGCCTTACAAATACAATTTCAAAAATTTAAGTTGAATTGAGAATAAAAGCCTTGTTTCATTTACCCACCTTCACGGTACGTCTTAACAGCCGGTATAAGTTTCATTTTCGAAAGTATAAACACTGCCGGCATCCTTCTGAACAGCAATATTAATATCGAAAGTAACGTCAACCTCCACCATGAAATGGAACCGACAAATAATGACCACGGGATTAAAGACCCTATATACACAAACACAGCGATGTTGAGCAACAAGTCAATAACCTCTTGTAGGTGAGCTTCCTCGGTTTCCCTTCGAAACCAATCACTGCCATATGAAAATGTAGCAAGATGAAATCAGCAATTCTGTTAATTTAATTATGGAATTGTTAAACACTCACTCCCAGGTAAAGGAGGTTCCAGCTATGAAACACGCCAGTAAATCATCGCTACCAATAATCGCCATGAAACCCATGATGAACAACTGTGTTAAACGGAACAAGCGGTGCAATTAGCATTAATGATCTAATTTAGAGAATGCATATATGCACATACGCGTCACAAATTACTTACTGCCAATGCTATGGCAAATACCAAAAAAGACTCCTTGTCTATTAATCGACTTGAGTAAAATTTTTTAAAAAACTGATAAGTTAAAAAAAAAAAAAAAAAAACCCCTTTTCATTTAAACAGAAATACTATGCAGCATACTTTTTCTCGGAAAAATATAATAATTTTCGTGCAATATATCCCTATAACGATAAAGAAGTTCAAATTAAATAACGCGTTTTTAACTAATTAAATGCGTGTAACTGAAACTTACTACTGAAACTCCAACGATAATGGATAGCGTAACATTATAAAGCAATGAAACCACAGCCCACCTTCCAATAGATAAACCAATTGATGTTCGCTCCATGAGAAATAGTGATAGATATATATATTGATCCGCGAGACCTTTTTAACACAATATTAATATCATATTACATGGGAAATTAAATTAAATTTGATTTTGAAGTGTCCAGGAGTCAAATCATAAATTACCGTCAGTCGCGCCACTAAAGTTTCAAAAGATGCATTTTAGTGAAAAAAACATTGAGTTGCTAGGTCAAAAAGGTATTCATGTCCAATAAGACAGTTAATAAATACCTCTCAGCGGAAAGCAAATTTCGGATATGCGGGGGAACATGACTCTGCAACAAGTTTTTATAGTCAGAACTAATATTTCGAAAGCTCTAAGCTCGAAGTTTTGTAAAATATTACCTCTGCAAATTTCCCTTTGACTACAGAATTTGCCAAGACCTGAAAAGATGCATCGTAAATTGGCGTTAGTATATGAGGCGCTGTAGAAACTCTCTAAATCCTTTGAAGTATGATACTCACTGGATCAGTAGGTGTCACACAAGACGCCAGGAGCAATGCCTCTAACTACATTGAATTGTGAAATAACTTTAAAAGAGGAATCGCGTCCTAGAATTCAAAGCAAAGCACCACAACTTACGAACGTAATAGGACGTATCATTAGCCAGATAGCCAATCCACTTATGAGCCACATGCAACTCATTACAGGTATCAATAGAACAATCAAGGATTTCATTTCTTTGACCATATATGCTCTGAAATTTTAGAAATCGAAAATCTTCAGTAACCGAAAAAATTCAATGACAAGTGAAAAACGTGTGTTCTTACTTTGGTAATGCTACACCAGAAAACATGACCTACAATGGAAAATAATTTTTTTTTCTGCATGATATTAAAATAATAACAAACAGTGATATCAAATATTCTAATAATGACACACCTGAATAGCGATAACCGTCCGTGTAAACCCATGTATAATATCATTTGATCCCCAATCCTCTGAATGAAGTAAACCTAATACTTTGGGGCCCAATATAATTCCTGCTATCACCGATACCACTATAAAGAGAAAAATCAAAAACTAATTTTTTTCGAATTATGCCTTGCACCCTTGTAGCACGAGATACATATCACATGACTTACGTGCTTCCGACAAAAATAACCGTTCTTTGATAAAGTACGATACCAATCCAAAACATATTATAAATCCACCTAACAGGCATAAGGCTATTGGTAATCTTTCGGGATTTATTTCAATCAACATTTTATCGATGTGAATTCCTCAAAGTAAAGAAAAAAATTTTTGGAAGGAAAATTCTTTGATTCAAAGCTTGCTGTGAACCCTATAAAAACAAACAACTTAGTCGTATTATATGGTCTTCCACCACAGAAAAACTCCTCCTATCATATATACAATAAATCGTTTATGCTTACCATCGTGTGCTATATATATACACATGCTGTATATAGGCACATAATATTCTTCTCCTTCCTTGAGATTATGTATGGAATAAAATTCGACATCCTTCATTATGACAGATGTAAAAATGTGTGCTTGTCGATATTCTCTATATTTAGATAACTTCATAGTGTTAAATGCTAGATATGGAATGTCGGCGACTCCCACCGCGATAGGGATCGTATCTGATCTCTTACGTCTATTCCACATTAAGCCCCATTTAACGGATCTTAAAAGGATAAACAAAACGTCAAACATCGTTATCTAAAAAGCGAGTATAGAATGCACATCGAAAGATTATGTTATTCCTGCTTGATCTTGTCATTCTCAATAATTAAATTAATGATTCATAAACATCGACTTCATGTGAAATTTATAACCTTATTTTACTTTAAAACAAAGATTATTCTTATAATATTTATATATTCTTTAAAAGTGTTTTCTCTTATTCTGCACGCAAATTAGGGGTAATTTCGAGTTGGTGATATACGCAATCTAAGCCAATAAAAAAAAAATGTGTCAAGTAATTTATAAATTATTAGAGAGTAATTTGGTTTAAAAAAATCAAGATACTGTATAAACTATCATTTAAATATGTAAATTATAAATTATTTAATTTATAGTAATATGCACTCTATTAAATATTCGTAGATTGTATATACATAAATTTAGGTATTATTAAATTAATTTTTAATCGATTTATTCATCTTAATTTAAATAATTCTAAGTATAACTTCAGAAATAATTTATTGTTTTAGTAATAGTTTAAATAAAAATTCATCTAACTATTAATATTATTGTCTACAAATTATTATTTCAGATTATTTTTTTAAGTTTTAACAAGAATCAAAATCTAATAACTTTATTTTATACTTTATTTCATTTATTATAATTATTATAAAATCTATTTTCTTTATTTATTTATTTATTAATTTTCTATATATTTTTAATTTTGTTAACCTTTTTTAAACAAAAAATTTTAATGATCTTTTAATTTTATTTACTTTATGAATTTTTTACTTATTTAATAATTTTTTCATATTTTGTGTTTCAATTTTTTTTTTTTTGGTTTTTTTTTTAATATTTATATTCTTAAATCAATATCAATTTTTTTTTAATAATATTTTTTAATATTTTAATATTATTGTTTTTATAAAAAACTATTCTTTATTAATTTTACATATAAACTTAATATATAGTATATATATTAATTGAATTTAAAGATTTATTCTTTTATTTTAATTATTTATTTATCAATTTCTTTAATTTTTATTATTATTATTATTATTTTTTTTTTTTTTAACCCACAGTCAGGTCAATATGGCTTGTCCATTTTATTGTAAATATATTTGGTATTTACATAT